CATGTAGCATACCCTTGATTTGGTCACAATAAATATATGCCATTTTGATGCTCATTTCCAGATACAAAATAACACCAATAGATTTATGTTTATTCCTTTCTCGGTAGCTGAAAAACAATGGCGTTACAATTTATTTTTTTTGAAAGTTTTGAAAATTAAAATGTTTGTTTATTACAGATGATACAATTTATGACTACAAATAACATCGACGAACATGTACGCTTTCTGTAACTAATTATAATGTAAGCTCATTATATCAATGACAAATAAGACATTTCATTTGAACAATTGTGAAAATTAATCATTAAAATGAAATCCTAAGCGTCCAACTCTTCATTTGAGGACAGAAACATTTTCAGTCATCAGACGCTCATAACCTGGTTGTAAAACTTTGAACTCCAGGAGCCGTGTTTGAAATTCCCAAAGGTCTTGCATCTATATTCAGTGATCATTGGAAAAGATATATTGAGTAATGTATACATGTACATGTATGAGTATATACAAAAACAAAGAATACAGATGTAAAGAATACAGAAAAAGTTTATCGCTGCATCATGTCATATTCGCAAAACACAATTTCTTACACATTGAATGGATTTAATGTACAAAACGCACACTACTCTATGTTGTTTTTGACATTCATAGCCGTAGGAACCAGGGAAGGGGGAACTGGGGGTGTGGGGGGGGGGGCGTGTCCCCATTATGATTTTGCCCATATATAGAGTACTATAGAAAACATACATGTAGCTACTATATGCTTTTGCCCCCTCAGTAAAAACGTTTGATGGCAATTTTTGTCCCTTGAAAACTGAAAATGTTTGGCTGTGCCCCCCTAACAGAAATTCCTTTCAAGGGCCTGACATTGTTAAACTGTTACCGACGATTTTATATATCAAAGAAACTTTTTTTTCTCACTGCCTGAATTTTATCGCTATTGTACCATAATAAAGTTGTTATGGTCGCTTAAGTATACAGAAAAATTGCTTTACTATATTTTATTTATTTTTTATTTATTTTATCATATTTTGCCAATAATTTAATGCTAAAATAACCCTTTAATTAAAAAGATTTTTAAATTACAAAAATGTGGTCTCACGTCGCAGTATGTGCTGGCACGAAAAAGATCCCTCAATATTTAATAGCATTGAATGCAGAGTATAGGACAAATTTTGCAGCTCTCTATTGGCAAGTGGTCGCGTCTCAATATAAATGAAAAAATTTCGAGAGGGACGTTAAACAATATTTAAACACAACAAACAATAGTTTCTTTTAAGGTGCGATTCTTCTCTGGTTTCTGACTAAATGAAACATTTAATTCATATTCACTGATATATCTTATATATTTAGGTGAAAGAGACTTAAAAGACCATATTTTTCTTTCTTCGTCACAATTGTACAACTTTAATTAGAAATGGTAAACTGTGTTTAAAAACTAGCAGGGACTATATTTTTGGCCGAATGACGGCGTATAAAGATATCTTCTTTTCTGCCTCTCAAAATTATTATAGAACAATGAATTTAGTTATAGATTTTTTTTACACAATCAAAGACTTGAAGAATTTTTCAAATGTTAGCTAAATGAATAATAAGGGACTAAAGTTTTAAAATATATCAAATAAATATGATTTTCCCAACAGACTACAATTATGCTAGCTTTTAAAAGCTTCCAATCTAAGGACAAATATGAGCCAAAAATCCATATAGAAAGTGTTCTTACTCTCTTATTAAACGGTCAAAACTTTTTATTTTTGTATCATTTTGTATTTCTTTATGACTTCTTTACTATATGTGAAAATAAGAAAAATTTAAAAATAGGGCGCATATAAAAAAAATTAAACATCCTAAAAAATTTTAGAAAAAAATAGAGAAAATTCGGATTAGCCAAAATCCATTTTTGTTAAACTATTTGCGTCAATTTTGTAATATGATCGTATAGACCTTATATGGTAATATCTTTTTATGCAAAAAGAAAAATATTTAATGTTTTGAAATAGAAGACCGTATTGCATGATTGGATGCAATCATTTTTATTCTTAATGTCCAGGGAAAAAGTAATGACCTTGACCTGACCTTGACTTTAATATAAAACCGTCAAAATGTATCAAACTGATACCATCTATTATAATAAAAATTGCAGTAAATATAAGAATGAAACAAATTTTATGAGTTTGCAGTTTTAGTCTGACAAAAGATAACGAATGCGAGCTCTACAGATAAAAGTAATTAAAGAGACTGATCAATAGGAATTAAACTTTTAAATCGGACGGTCCCACGAAAAAGATCATGGGAATGCAGCTGCTACTTGCTTGTTTATGAAAATATGGATTTGGTTAGGGTGAATAAGGAACCAATGGTATTGAAGTGACCAGAGGTCAGATATTTGAATAAATTAGCTACAACACATAATATTTAAGGATTATGCAAACGATTGGAAATTATTTTAAAAGTGCATTAGAAATTTTAAAAGTACTCAAGGTCAGAATAATAGTAATTAAAATTCAAATAAAAATTTAAAGTAATTATTGCAAATTTTGAAGGAGTTACAAATATGGAGATGTAAATTGACAAAGGTACACCTAGTATAAAATGACTGGCCGGGATAGACAGGACTTCAGTGGAAAGCTGAATCTTGACTGTTTTGGTTGCATTTTATACAGGTGAGATTATTTTGTAGACTTGCGCACGTTTTGATCAAAATTATTAAATTTTCACATGGCTTATTTTATTTACAAGTTAAACTTTTTATATTATAAGTAGTTATAGTTTTAATATGGTTTAGCATCTTTTGTAAAATTATTAATTGTAATTATAAATATTACAAATAGAATGTTTAATCTAATAAAGAGTGGAAAGCTGAATCTTGACTGTTTTGGTTGCATTTTATACAGGTTGGGTAACATCTCCACTCCCCAACCATGGCCGCCGCTCTGGTCAACAAATTTAAAAGGAATTATAGAATAAAAGAGAGAGCGCAATTGAGCCATCCTGGTACCTCCACAAGCCAAGCGAGTTTACGCGAGTTCCAGTCAATGATATAATCTGCTTATAGGGAAAAACAAAGTAGAACAATATTCCTTTTATGTTTTTTATAATAAATGGTGGAGAAATGGGGTCAGATTCAGAAGGATGGAAATAGCCTTTAACAGTTCTCAAAGTCACCCCCCCCCCCCAGACGAGGATTAGTGCACAATCCCGCTGAATTTTCGAACAGAGGACTTGAAAACAGGCGAGACACAGACCAGAGCCGTCAGACGATCGACGAGGCCTGACGCTCCCTGGGCAGGACCAACTAGGACTAAGACGTTTTAACAAATTTGTGCCGACCGCGAGTCCATTTGAAACAGACGAAACGAACTAAAAACTCTTGTACTAAAAGGACATTCGATAAGACTTTTACCAGCCCGTCCTTTGGTGGCCAAAAGAAAGAAACAATTTCATATACGTATTTTAAAATAACGACTATAATTCTGTGCCGGAGCCCCTGCTTCCGAATCCAAGTGCCGATGTGAAGACGAATTATCCATTTGTTGGACAATTTAATTTTCAGTCCTACGAGTAAGACTTTGAAAAAAAAAATTAAGTACAGGTAGGATAGCATTTTTTTTTTCAAAATGTCTACCTTTGTTATGCAAGAAATTTTTTTACGACGACGGTATTTAGAATGTTGTCATATTGTTGATAATTTTTTTACATGGGCAATGTTTTATGAATTACCTGAAAATAAGATTGATGATGCTTATAAGCAAAAATATATAGGGACTTGCAAAATAAGAGATGAAGTGTTCTTAAAGTTATATTTATGAGACGAATTCAAGAAAAAAAAACCTATAAATGGGAAGGGTCTTAAAAGTAAAGGAAACCCCGTTGACCATTTGTGTAGGTAAAGCACGTTACAAAAATAAATCCTAAATGGGAAGGGCCTTGAACGATAGTAAAGGAAAACCCCTGATTCCATTCATTTAGGTTGAAAGTAAAGTCACAAACTCTTGCGAGAGGATCTAATTAAAACCTATAAATGGTAATTTTAAGGGCCTTGAAAGATAGTAAAGGGAAACCCTTATACCATTCATTTAGGTTAAAGGTTAAGTCGGGACTTTATAATAGTCAACCAAACATGAGGTTTGGTGAGAAAAATTTGAAGGAAAATGGTCGTAATTGAAGGGATAAAGTTATTTCCATTCTTCCGAAATAATTACGAGAATCATTCCTCCTTTCATAAAGACTTAACTTTTAAAGATTTTTTTTTCAAAGCAGATTTTTTATAATACCATCTCTTAGTAATATTATCTTCTTGCTTCTGTGAAAATTTCATTAATTCTTAAATACAAGAAACACAGTTTTGTGTGAGAAGAATCCTACCTTAAGGAGTTACATAATCATATGGAAAAAAAGTGTAAATTGGCTATTGCAATTAATCTGATTCTTGACTTATGTATTTAAATCAGTATTTTGGGGCAAATATACAGGACACCATCAAACATATCTTAGAAGACGAATCTACCGATGTATGAGGAATTTGAGAAAAATATTTCCAAAGAGAGACGGATCAAGCAGACAATCACTGCTTTCGACTTTTCTTTAGAAAATGTCGACTGATATAGTAATCAACGAAAAATGCATATACGGTGGTGTATTTCTTCATTTTAAACTCTTAATTATGATGTCTTTTTCTGCAAGTTATTTAAAATATTTTTTCAGTTTTTTGAATTCGTGTTACCGTCTGCAGTTATTCCACAAGTTAGGTTTTAGATAACATCGTTTTTCCGATTCAAGCAGAATTTTTGTTCATACATGCATTGAATCTGTCTATTGTGATTTAAATTTGTATTGTCGTTTTTTCTTACTTCTGTCCTATATTTTAAATAAAATTTCATTTTTTTTTGTTGCATACTTGAATGCTTCAGTGCATAAGGAGTGTTAAATATACTGATATATAATATATGATAAGAAACCTACCTCCATTTTGGTGTCTCTGAACGTTTGTTGATCTTGTTACCATTATGGATGACAATACATGGGATTTAATGTGTAAATGTCATGATATGAAACTATTGCCGATATATTGTAAGGATTGTGAATGTCCAGTCTGTACAAAATGTCTGACTTCCTCTCACTTAAAACACAACATATGTGATACAGCTGAGTATTTCGAGAAAAATGAGGGAAAACTTATGGAAGCCATGTGTGGTGAAGATTCATTACTTGAAGAAATAAAATGTAGCCTCGGGAGTAAACGTAAAATGCTAGATCAATGGAAAACCAAAGTTTTTGATCAAATTATCAAAAGAGAAGCCATCATTGCGGAAGTTAGAGAAGTTGGTAATGGCTATAAAACCATTGTATCTGATGCTGTTTTGAAACGAGAGGAACACTTTCAGGAAAGTGGGAAAATACTTAAAAATATTTCAAGTAATCTAGAATTTAAAACAGAATCGGAAAGAGACAGAATAAAATTATTGACGTGTTATAGTGAACTAATGAGGCTTCGATGGGATATAAAAAATAAAGACCCCATGAACTCTACATTAGAAGACTTAAAAAGTAACAGTAGAAAGGTCATAGAAGAGCTATTTAGGAATTTAAATATGGAATCTGATCATACTCTTGCATCTGATGAAGATGGGCAAATCGAGAAAATCACCTTTTCATAACAAAAATGTTGAAGGGATACTTGCTTGTGTTCGAACAAGGAAAGACGAGGAAAAGCAAACGATATTTCGACAGTTTCAATTTACCGACGATACGATGCAAGACTTTAGAGGAATTGTTTTTTCGGAGAAAATTGCGTTTTTGCATTTAGGTGAGACACTCTACGTTTTCAGTGGTACAAGATCTGCTAGCAGAGACTATCTAAATGTGAGCTTCGTTTGTAAACTTTCGTCTGGCCATGGGGTTCTTGTTGTAACGAACGACAGCAAAATACTTTGGACTCTCTTAAATAATGAAGCATGCATGAAGCTTTACGAGGCGCATTTTCGCACTAGAATACTGGCAATAGAGGAAAATGCTAAAAGTGGTATATCTATGTTACTTGAAGATAGATATAAGGTATATGACCAGGCATGTGAGACAATTATCTCTTCTGAAAGATGTAAATTAAATATTCTGCGGGTTGATGAAAATGGCCAAACAGAAATGATTTCGGAGCAAAAGAAAGATGAAGATGTCCAGATGACGTAAAATTTTGATCACTTAAAAACAAAACAACTCAGTTAGTCATAATGTGCAAGAGATCACTTCGTGTCTATAATCAAGATTTAGACTTTCTGTTTCGATATCAGGGCTATCAATATAATCATTTACAGCATCCTGCGCGTGCTTGGATCCTGAAGACAATATTTTGGTGGCTAACAAAACTGATAATGCTATTCATATGTTGGATAATGGTGGCAAGTTTTTAAGGATTATAATTTGGCCAGAAGAATCCTTATCTATCATTATTTCTCTGTCATTTGATGAAGAACATTGGTTGTGGTTGGGTACTAGTGAAAAGGAAAAACGTAGTTCAATTTTGCTCTTTGACTATTATTATTTAAAGCGAAGTAAACGATTTCATAGAGCACTCACTGAAAGCGAAGAACGCTTTTTTCAATATTAATGGTCATACAGATAAGAATTGTTCATAAATATTATTTTTTTGAATTTATGAATATAAAACGTTTTTTGGAAAAAAGAAAATGTTAATTTTGTGTATCGATGAAATGCTGTTTGTTTATAACTGAAAAATAAAGCCTGTTGTAAAGGTGTACACTTGATACATTTATCACTTGCATAAATCATTTAATGCACATGTACCGTATAATGTTTATGTTTTCTGAACTTAAGTTAACCCTGTCACAACACTTGTTGATAAGGCATTTCAAATAATAACAAAAGTTTTCTTTCATAGGGGGAACATCCGTATGAATATTCCTTGGAAATCAAGATCCTTTTCTCCATCAAACTGCCATTACTGATTTTAAATGGAATCATATAGACATATTTTTTTTACTTGTCTGAGTTAAATTTTCTATAGATATCTGCGAATATAACAAATGACTGTAAAATCAATTAAAATTGACATGAAGCTACTGACAATCAAATTTATTAGCCTATAAAATTCTTATTAGCAATTAGGGCAAAATTACATATATGGAGTTCGAAAACTTCTAAAATGAAACTTGTACAACAAATTAATCCCTTCACTCTTTCAACCTAATTGTCGCCACTATGCTTACTCTGAATTGATGAAACTAAATATTTTTGTTTGCCTGGTCATGAGAAGGAGAACACGACCAGTCGGTAGTGAATGCTTACTCCTCCATGCCCCCTGATCCCACCTTTGATATTTTGAGAGGTTAGCATTTGAAATACACCCAGTTTGTTTTGTATCGATAAGTTTTTATCTTGATTTCTATTCGTCATCTTTAAATTTTATTTGTATATAATTGTTATCGACTAGTTTACTTTTTGTGATTGAAACTCGATTTTTACGTGAAAGTCGCTTGATTTCTATTCGTCATCTTTAAATGTCATTTGTATGTAATTTTTACCAACTTTTGTGATTTTTGCAGTTGAGAAACATGGATTTTTGCGTGAAAGTCGCCTCAGGACATGTGTGTACCATAATTTTATCTTCCGTCGGGATTTCAATCTTTCAGCGTTCTGAAATTCACACGTTCACACGGTTCCACAGAATTCGGCTACCGATTCAAATACTCATAAACAAATAAAAACACCTCCTTAAAATTCCGATAAAATCGGGAATCTGATGTAGACAAGTGTTTTTTAAACATGTTAAATGAAGCACAATTTTTGGGCGTTTTCTCACTGATTACCATTTGAGGCCGTCCATTAGAGACTAGCTGAATTAAAATTCCAACACCAATCGAAGGTAGTTTTACTTAATTATACGCACTTTTTTTTCGAAGATACTTAATATTGCTCTGATGTAATCGTTTCTATGCCCTAAATTGAGAATTTTTATTTCTAAAATCATTAAGATAGATAAAAAAAAAAATTTAACCCACTTTATTTACATAAGCAATTTCGTTGGTATACAAATAAATACAGAATTCCAGTACCTTTTAATGTGTTATATTCGCGTCCAATTTCTTGTTTGTAATAACTTCATATCATTAATTTTTTTTTTATTTTTGATGTCTAAGTATCAATGATTCAACTGCACGGTGTAGTACCTAAACAGCTGCTATCGGAACAAAATCGCGTTCAATGTTGCTATTCGAAAATTGTATGGCTGCTAGCAGAAATAAATATGTTGAAAACTCTTGGAACAAGTTGTAAAACTGTGAAATCATGACCCCAAATCAAGATAGTCTCTGAAAAGTCCGGGTGCACGGAACAAGTAAGGTATTTCTATAGATGTTGTCATGTGTAATTTGCAAAATAGCCCTCTAATAATTTAGAATTAGTAAAATTTCCGAAGCCTGTACCAAATCTTAAGTCAATAAATACCCAGTTTTCATGCTTTTTTAATTCATCTATTTTTCAGATTGTGGGTATTTTGGTATTTGAAGAGGCGTCAATCTATAATAATACTTAGAAATAGTTTTAAAAATTTCAAAAGTGTATTTTAAAAGAGATTTTTGGATAAAACACGATTTTTTAAAGTTACGGTTGCTATCAGGGTCTTAGCATATATTGCACCAGTTAATAACTCAAAAGATCGCATCGGCTGCTATTTGAAAAGTTTCCTTATTAACAGAGATATGAAACAAACTTATGGCAGCAATTGTCTAAAATATACATCTTAAATATCCCAAATTGCATGTAAAATAAGATGTTTATAATATGCAGTTGACTTTTACCAACTTAACTCAGGGGTGTAACTTCGATTTTGAAAATGGGGGGGGGGGTGTCAGAAAAATTCAAATCTATATTTAAAAAAAAGCTGACATGAAAAAAAAAAAGAAAATTGTCAAACTTCTTTCAGAACCATTTTTTCTCACGCGCTTTCGCCTACCCTTCTTTGACTATACTGCAATAAAAAGGGGGGCTTCAATGAAAAGTTTCAATATAATAAAAGTTATGCTTGGAAGAAAGTAAACAGGTCTTTCAATGAACATTTTAGAAAGTAAAGGTTATGCTTGGAAGAAAATGTGGAAAGGGGGAGGGGGGGGGGCACGCGTCTGTAACTCAACTGTATCGTATTTTTGCAAAGTAGAGCTGATCTTCGAAAATCATTGCTACACAAATCAAAAAGAAAGCTTTACGAAAGGACCCGTAAATCAATTTGAAATAGCATATAACATATTTTAATTTTTTTCTACAATCATTTACAATCATTTCTTTAGCTTTCTTAAGTTAGAGTCTTTGGGGATTTTTGTAGACTACATGTACACTTAAACATGTATAATATCTAGAAAAGTCAAAGTATAAGCTTTGTCAAATATTTCTAATTCCTATTTCTTTTTCGAAGTACGGTGATGCATTGTTTCGTTGTACGACTAACATGCAATATTCAAATCATCGACCCCCTTTCCCCCCTCGCCCCATTAGGCTTTTAAGAGTTCTTAAATTTTTAAAGGTAAGAAAAGACAAGCCCCCCCCCCCGACACGAAAGAAAGCGTGGTTTTTATATATTGATGTTTTCCACTTCTTTTTTCTGTCAAATTTCTTGTAAATCGACTTAATGTGACTCTGGGAGTCTTTGACAATACTACAGTAAAGATTTTTTTTAAATCACAGAAAATTCTCTTAACAAAAAGGGGGGAGGGGGGGTAGGAGCAGACCTACCCCTCCCCTTTTACCTTCAACGTGCCTTACCCGATGTGCATGTACAGTATATGAACGTCCTACGTACATAGATCGTAAGCTCCTATGAACATACGTTATTGTCCACGTTTTACTCTTCTGTACATTGTTCACTTAATCTTTACATGTACTTCGAGTCATTATCGACGTTGGACACAAAACTTTATGTGAGTTTTATTCATTTTTCAATTCATATTTTTTTTCAATCAGGTATTAATATTGCTAATTTGTAGGTTTATGTTTGGATTTGTAGAGGTGGGTTGCGTAAATATTTGAGACAAATTATCTCTCGTGGTTTGTGAATCGATAATTATGATTTTGTTAAAATTCCAAATCGTAAATTTAATCAATCTGGCGTAATAACATAGCTGGAATATAATAAATTGAATGGTAACATGATTTAATGGATAACACAAAACAGTTGTGTGTGTGAGGGTGTTTTTGTGTGCATGTGCCATAAGCGGCGGAAGCGGAGGGGGGGGGGGGGGGGCTACACCAATAAAAAAAAGATTAACCCAATTTTTCAGTGCATATATTATGTCTACATGTATCTTTGCAAAAAAAAAGTGGGAAGGCTTAGCCTCCCCCTGTTCCAAAGCCTATGTGTACAGGGTACATGTACATACAAACTCCACTATTTTCATCATCATAAATATACGATTAATTTGTCATTATATGATCGAAAGTAACATACATGACAAGTCAATTATATTATATATAGAACGAATATATAACAGTTTTCTTAACTATAATTGCATAGCATATGTAAACCGAGGATGTGATTTCATGAAATTTTTCCAATAGTTACCGGTGTCGTTGTCTAATAGTAGCCTAACATAAGATTCTCCTAATAAAAACGCTCTGGCTTTTCAGAAACCCATCGAATTGGACAATGATA